TAGGGCCAGGCCCCCTGTGATAAACTTTTTAATGTTGATTTTTACTAATATTTTCTGAGCTATTGGAATCCTACTCAGGAAGTTGTCTGTGTACAAGGAAGTGTTTCCTCTGAATTTTGTTCTAAGATTTCAAAATTTCAGGTCTTATATCTTAGTCTTTGATGCATTTTTAGTTGAGTGTTATGCAGGGTAGAGATGGGAATCTAGTTTCAGTCTTCTATGTATGGATTATCAGTTTTTTTAATACCGTTTTTTATAGAGGCTGTCCTTTTTCTATGTATGCTTTGGGCCCTTTGTCAAAAATCATTTTGCTGTAGTTATGTAGATTTATCTCTGTTCTGTAATATTCCATTGGTCTATGTGCCTATATTACACCAGTACCATTGTATTTTTGCTCTGTAGTATATTTTTAAATTGAATACTGTGATATCTCTAATATTCATCTTTTGCTCAGGGTTATTTTGGTTATTCTGGATCTTTTATGTTTCCATTATTAGTTTTAGGATTTTTTTCCTACTTCTGTGAAGAATGTTATTGGTGTTTTGATAGGAATTGCAATGAGACTGGAGAGATTGCCTTTGGTAAAATGACCTTCAAAAAAAAAAAAAAAATCTACAGATCCATGATCATGAGAGGTCTTTCCATCTTCTAATGTCATAATCAGTTTACTTTGTTAGTGTTGTGTAATTTTTTCATTGTAGAGGTCTTTCACCTCCTTGGTTAGATTGATTGCTAGGTATTTTATTGAATTCTTTTTGAAGGTATTATGAATTATTTTCTTGATTTCTTTCTTAACTAGTTCATTATTGGTGTACAGAAAAGTTGGGCTTTTGTTTTCTTTTGTATGTATCTTGGCACTTTGCTGAATTTGTTTATCAGAGCTAAAACTTCTTGGGGAGCCTGTATGATTTTCTATGTATAGGGTATTATCATTTGCAAATGAGAATTATTGGACTTTTTTTCCTTTCCTATTTGTGTTCCTGTTATTTCTTTCCTGGCTAAAATTTCAAGTATTTATTGACTAAGAGTATGGAAAGTGAACTTCTTTGTCATTCCTGATTTTAGAGAAAATATTTTTAGTTTCTCCCCATTAGATATGATACTGGCTGTGAATTTCTCAGCCATAACCTTTTCGATCTTGAAGTATGATCCTTCTATACCTAGTGTCTTCAGATTTTTATCATGATGAGATGTTGAATTTTTCAAATGCTTTTTCTACATCATTTGAGATGATCATGTGCCTTTTTTCATCCATTAATTTATTTATTTATACTGGGAATTAAACTCAGGGCTTCTTGCTTGCCAGGCAGATGCTGTGTCACTAAGCTCCATCCCTGGCTTTATCCATTTACTTGTGTTCATTGGTTTGTATACATTGAACTATCCTAGGAATGAAACCAAGTTGATCATGGTGTATCATCATTTTAATATTGAATGGTTTGGAAGTATTTTATTAAAGAGTTTTGTGTCTATCTTCATCAAGGATGTTGCTCTCTAATTTATGTGTGTATATCCTTATCAGGTTTTGGTATCATACTAATATTGGCTTCATAGAATGAATTTGGAAGTATTCCTTCCTTTTGCATTGCATGCAGTAATTTCAGGAACATTGGTATTAGATCTTATTTAAAACACCTGGTAAAAATTCCATAGCCAATCTATTGGTCCTGTGCATTTTATTGTTGGGAGACATTTTCATTTGTTTCAATCTTTTTTCTTATTATTGACCTATTTAGGTTTATATATTCCTGGTTCAATTTTGTTAGGTTCATTGTGTTTAGAAATTTATCCATGTCTTCTAGGCTCTCCAGTTTATCAACCTATAGGTTTTCAAAGCAGACCTAGTGTTCCTCTGGATTTCAGTGATGCCTGTTGTAATTCCCATATCCTCCTTCTTATAATCCCTTGATTTGAATCTTGTCTTTCTCTCTTTTGGTTAAATTGGCTAAGGGTTTATCAGTCTTGTTTATTTTATCAAAGAACCAACTCTTCTTTTCACTGATATTTTAATTTATTCTTTTAGTATCTATTAATATTCTCTATTTTTCTATTAGTTGGCTTTAGTTCTTGTTTTCCTTTGACTTTCAGATACATGATTAGGTTATTTGAGATCTCTTTGAGTTTTTGATGTAGGCAATTATAATTATAAAATTCCCTCTGTATGTACTACTTTTGTTATATCCCAGGGATTATGGTTCCATTTTCATTTGATTCCAGGGATTTTAAAAATTTTTCCTTGATTTCTTTAATGACTCATCAGTCATTCAAAGTTGAAGTTTTCATTCCATGTTGTTGTATAGTTTTTCTTGCCGTGAATTTCTAGTTTCTATTATGTTCTGTTATTATGACAGCCATTATTTTAATAATTTTGTATTTGTTAAGACTTCCTAAATGGTCTACAATATGATCTATTTTGGAGTTATGTGAATTCCCTGAAGAAATGTATATTCTGCAGTTGTTGTATTGAATGTTTTATAGATAGCTGTTAAGTTTATTTGATTCATGGCATAATAAATCTCTGATGTTTCTTTGTGAATATTTTTGTCTAGATGGCATATTTATTTAATTTTATTTTAGATGACATATTTATTGATGAGAGTAGAGTTTTGAAGTCATTCCCTTGTTATTGTATTGGAATGTAGTTGTTTTTTCACATCAGGTGATGTTTTATGAAGTTGGGCGCTCTGATGTTCTGTGAATATCCCTTCTTGTTATATTGCGATACCTTCTTGGTAGGTTGGTTCCTTTACCAATATGTGTCACCTTTCTTTGTATTTGTAATTTTGTAATTTTGGCTAGAAGTCTGCTTAGTTGGCTACATATACTTTTGATTCTAGATTCATGTGCAGGTAATAATCATTTTCTGTTTTTTTATTTTAAGTCTGTGCCTGTACTGGAAAAATGTGTTTCTTTCAGGCCGCAAATAATTGGGTCTTATATTAATCCAATCTGACAATTTGTATCTTTTAATTAGAGAATTAAGGCTATTTACATTCAAAGTTACTATTGAAAGGCATGTACCAAGTCCTATCATTTTGGTATTTTTCTATTTTATTCTTTCATGTACCTACAACTTTGAACATTTGTTCCTTAGAAGCTAAATCATTTTGAATACATGATGATAAACTCAGAATGTAAGTACTTTTGCTCTTCAGTATACTCTATGAGAAAATTTTTAAGTGATTACTCTTGAAATAGAACTGTTTGAAAATACAAAGCATGGTTCACCACAAAGGCAACTAATCCAAGTTTCTTCATGAATCAGAATATCATGGAAATAGTAGATTTGAAATAATATAATAAAGACTATCTCTAATAGAAAAATATAACCAGATGTGATTTGTTATTAGATGTGACAGTAGGCATTTTTTCATTGAGGCCTATATGTATTGTCTAAAGGAATTGAGTGGGTCTTATACCTAAAGGATCCCCACGGAAGTATGCAGAACAGCAGCAACTTGTGAAGAACTGAAGACAGGAAATCGATACACATTCTTACTGTGTAGCTAGCAAGAAATTCAGGAATTTCTTGAGATATCTCTGAATAATAGAGTATAATAAGATATATGTTCAATCCTATTGAGAATTTCTGTGTAGTTTAAAATGTTCAAAAGCTTAAATGTGTATTTGTTAAAGACTCTGAGGACATTTTAGAATTGTTTAGTGGATAAGTGATGATTAAAAATATTTTTTCAGTTTGAAATCATATCACTTGTCTTAGTTTTTGTTGTTCCTGAGACAAAATACTCTGCATCCAAAGTTAAAGGAGAAGGGTTTATTTATTTACCTCATAGTTTGTTGCAGTTTCAGTCAATAGCTGGCTCTGAAGCAGGGTTGCATGGCAGGATGTTGCAGAGGTGAAACAGTTCATGGAATCACAGAAAGAAAGCACTGAGCAACAAGCAGCAGTCTGCCCCTTCCTTTCATTCCTTCTGTGCTAGCCACCTTTTTGATGGTGCCACCCACAGTCAGGGTGGGCCTTCCCATTATTCACACTCAGAAGTATGCTAAGCCAGTAATTGGATTAATTTAGTATTCACTTCCTTAATCTTAGCATTTCACAGTCTAGATCCACCCATAACTGCATGAGGCTTTTTTTTTTTTTT